CGACCACTCCGGCCCCTGTTCCGCCTACGACCACTCCGGCCCCTGTTCCGCCTACGACCACGCCGGCCCCCGTTCCGCATACGACCACGCCGGCTCCTGTTCCCCCGTGCAACTGCGTACCCGGTGGGGTGGATTGTGCGTGCGCACCTGCCCTTTTGGTCAGAGTGAACAATCATCCCAAGAAGCTTAGCATCGATTACGAGAAGTAGAAATTTTTTTTTGTGAATGAGGAACTATTGATTTTAAGCTGTGTAGAGTGAATGGGGAATGATTTGATTGGTGTCCGTGGTGAGCGAGGAGAAGCGAGCGAGGGGCAGGACCCGGTAGAGTTAAATATTATTTTTGTGTGGCGTGAACCCTCTGCACCCTGACACCCCGCTCAGCCCTCGGGTCACAACCAGCTCAGCTGGCGGCAGCTACTGGACCTGGAGGGCTGTCCGGGGGGTCCAGATCACGACTGTGGGTGCCAAACTCACTCAGACACGGGAATCGAGACTCGTCAGATGTTTGGAGGAACGGGACGGGAGGCGAAGGTCAGCTGGGCGAAGCCACAGGCATCAGGTGGCGAGTAGCCTCCCGCCCGTCGTTCCGACGGAAGCGCCTAGTGTCCCTTCGGTTGTACAGTGTCCCTTCGATTGGGGAGGTCCTCGGAGGCGGAGATCGGGTCGGATCTCGTCGGGTGTGCTCGGGTCTATCGTTAGACTCGGGAGAAGTGTGGTGTCAGGCCGAGAAGAAGGTACTACGACAGAGTAAGTCGGTGGTTGGTTGCAAAGGGGTGTAATTGACTGGGCGTTGAAGCCGGCGGCGAAGGGCCGTAGTCGTTGGCGAGAGAGCCGTGCGGGCTTTGAGTACGTGAAGGAAGCAAGCCCCAGCCGCAACTGTGGAGTGGACATCCTCGGGGTACTTGCCGCGGTTGGGATGTCGAGTACGACCCGTTCGAGATTGATCTGGGCGGCGCGCGCAGGCTGCATGGAGCTGCGCGTAACGCTTCAGTGATCTGCGATGCCGTGGGACGAGTGTAGTTCTGGCAGCGACCCTACAGGGCCGGTCGCGGGGGTATGTTGAGCCGTGAGAATGTGGGACCGGGATCCGTGGGTCGCCTTCAGTTATTTTTGTATGGGGTGCTTTTGTATGGCACCCCGTTGAGCCCTCAGGTCACAGTCAATTCACTCGACCATTCCCGAGCAGATCAGATCAGAGCGGACTTGATGTCTCCTTGAGTTGGACTCAAGTTAATATATATATCAGGGTTAATTTTTCGTTGATGAAGTTCAGTGCTTGCGTATTCGGTGTTTTGGGAGCTGGAGCTTACGTGCCGGCGGTGGACCGGTTTTATCCGGAGAGTGCATGTGTCCCGCCTGAGGGTGGCGTTGTGGGTGACATAGCAGTGAGTTGTATCGAGAAAGAGAACAATGCGGCGAATGCGTTTACTTTGTTACATACCAATGTGACGGATGCGGCGGCGAACGCGAAGCCTGGTTGCGCTGATGACGAAAAGCGTGTGTTTGCATATGGTCCTTATGCGAACTACATGTTGACGGGGGAGGGTGTGAATGCCACTACGTATCCACTGGGGCCTTATAGTGTGTTGGTGGCGAACGTTGATGTGAACAACCTTGAGAATAACTCTGCCGAAGATGAGGAGACTGCACCGTGCGACATTACTCTGTGGGTCATCGCCAAGGGGACCGCTTGCCCTGACGCGAAGGACACTGCTAACCAATACAAATACTCTACGCTGAAGGATGTGGACGATGGTGAGAAGGACACTGAGACCTGGCAGTACAGCATTATGGACGGCCCACTTGTCGCGGCCAATGGTGACGCCTGGTTCTGGTACGCGGACATCACCAAATGCGTCAGCTCAGCAAGCGTTCGCCCCAACGTCTACTTCAGACAAGCCATCGTCGGGACGGCTGGAGCGGGAAACCAGAGTGGCGCGACCGCCGCATTCGTTACAGCACCCCTTCTCGCGACTGCAGCCCTGGCCGCGCTCTACCTCTGAGCGGCCTTTTTGAACGGTCGCAACCCGGTTCGAACCCCGGCTAGACCACCAGCGTGTGCGACCACCAGCCTGTGCGACCACCAGCGTGTGCGACGACAGTGGGTTTGCCAGAAATGGCGGCGATTGTGGGTTTGCCACAAAGTTTGAATTAGCTGTCTGGCCAGTTGGCTTCTAGCCGTCCGTACATCCGTTTAGGCCAGCGGATTGGATGGTAGAAGTGAAGCTTCTGTGTAAAAGTTTTTTTAAGGCAGTTTTAGAAAGAATGGTGTGTGTATATAATTAGGCGCCGTGTGTGTAGTAGACCGCGCGGCCTGTGAGCATTGGGTGGGTGCCCTGTTCCGTTTCGGTCGGGCTGAGAGGTCTGGCTAAAAGAGGGTCGAAGGGGGGCGGTGCGTGTGCACGCACGCCCACCCGGTCGACCAATGGCAGCCTCTACTCCCCAGGTTGATTAGTTTGTCATTGCTAGCTAGGCGTGGGCGAGATATCGTCCTTTTTTGAGGAGTTCTGCGTTGTTCTGTAGCGGCAGGATGAGACCGTGATAGACCCGCGTCGTCCGCTTGTTCCGCGACGCCCCCACCGGCGACGAAGCAATTGTCGCCGCAGCCGCCGCCTTGACGGTAGATGCTTGTTTCGAAATCCACTTCATCGTCGCATTGCCCTCGTCCGATGCATCCACACTACCGGCGCCAGTATTGGCGCCAGCATTGGCGCCAGCATTGGCGCCAGCATTGGCGCCAGCATTGGCGCTGCTACTCTTCCCAGCGCCGGCGACCAGCGAGACGCGGTCGTGTTGGTAAAGTGCCGTGGCAATTGCGCACCAGTCGTCGTGGGACTTGCGCACCTCGCGAATGAGCGTTACCGCCCGACCGGGGAGCGAGAGGCCAGTGGTGGTGAGGACTTGTTCGGCCTTGACTGCGGCGCGCGGCGTGCCTGTACCACTGGCGCCGAGCGCACGAATGCTGGAGGCGCTGCTGCTGACCAAGCCCGTGACGAAGCCGAGTCCGCTGTGGTGCGTGCCGCCGCCCTTGGAGGTACCTGCACTGGACTCGTCTTGTTTAGCCTCAACGGGGCGGCAAGCATCGGAGTCGGTGTTGTGTGGCAAGAGTCTACGCTCCACGGTGTTCAGGTAATGTGCCACGGGCATAACGACGTCTAGACAGAACTTGTAATTGGATTCGAACCATTTATTAGCGCCGAGCGACTGGAGACCCAAAGGTTCGCACAGAGGCAATGCGTAGTCCGCTTCCCAGTGACGTTGTGCGTAAAGTTCGACATAATATGCAATGGCCCAGTCCAGCATCATAACGGGGTTATTAAGTATGAGGTAGCTGAGGTCTGCGGCCTTCAGAACTACTGATGCCAGATCACGTACAGCGGGCTTGCTTTTCCGGACTAGGTCCAGGAGCGCAGCGCCCTTCTTATTCACCTTTTTGATCTTGCTCAATGTGTCGTGAGCAGCTTGCATGACGCGGTGATGATCCTGTATGTCTGTCCACAGGATGCACTGCACGATCAAGGATCGAAGTTCCGTTGCCTGTGTCCGCTCCCCAGCACCCGCGACTCGGCCAGGTAGCCAGCCTTGCTGCCGTAGTAATTGCAGCAGATAGGCGGCATGGTAGTTTTCTAACACGTGCTTGTCATTATACAACGTCGCCAATGGATGGTCACACTTTATGAATAGACTGCCACCCTTGCCCGGATGTCCAATGTCATGTCCTGCCGAAGCCAGCACAAAGGCGCCTCGCTCGCGCCAACTTAGACACTCCCAAACACCACACATCTGTGCGATCTCAACTGCGTGATGTACCACCATCGTCGCATGTCCAATGTGATGATACGGTACTCGGTTATACCGAACACACATTTCCAACATTAGCCGCTCTGCCACCACCGCAGACGGTCCCTGCACATCGGCCGCAACAATCGGCAACAGGTACCGCAGCCCCACCGCCACGAACTGCTCCTCCCGCCGTCCCCCCTCACCCACTTTCTCTCCCAGTTGAACGCTCGGATTCGAACCAACGCTGGGAATCGAACCCACGATCGAACTCGGGGCCACGATCGGAGGTGTCGCACTCCACTCCGACCCGCCCCCGCGCCCGGAACCTCCATCGCGCGACCCCGAACCCGTCCGCAAGACTACTCTCGAGGGCCTCCGCGGCAGCCGGTTGTTTTCACTTCCGCTCCGCAGTCGGTCACTTCCGCTCGGCAGTCGTTCGGCCGACAAACGTTCGGTGGAGGACGAGGAGGCCTTGAGGTAGGCTATTCCGCCGCTGCCCTCTGCCAACGCAAACGCGGATTCACCCGCTGGCGAAGTCATATTCCGGGCTGCTTCGAATCCCAGCAGTTTCGCCTGTGAGAACTTATCCTTAGATCGGCCTGGAGAGGGGTCTGTCAGGTCAAGCATAACCTGTCGACAGCGCCGAACTCGCTCTTGCAAAAGCGCCCGTGGCAAGTTACCCAGACCTTCGCAGCCCGCGAAGTCCCGCACGGCCTCCGAGGAGCCGTCGTCATTCGGAGAACGACCCGGCTCCGTCCTGCCCGAACCACCACCCAGTGTGCCCGGTGTCAATGAATCCGGGGCCGGTGTACTCTCCTCCAAATAAGTCAAGACCCGCGGCCTCAAAGCCTGGGCCCGTCTGGTAAAGCCGACAGCACTCCGGGGACCCGCTTCAAGCGCTACAGACTCTTCGTTCAAAGCCCGAAAGGCCTGCGACCAGCTTTCAGGAAACGTCTCGTTAGCCATGCCCCACAACTTCCCGAATCGTACCTGGGGCGCGGGCGGGCCATTGGGAACGCCCTCCTACCACAAACACCCTTTAGTGCGCTGGTCGAACCGGTGTTCGAACCCAAGGATCGAGCACAGGGCTCGAACCCAGGGATCGAGCACAGGGGTCGAGCCCAGGGGTCGAACCGCCGGGGGTTGGGGATCAAGACCGGGCGGGTATTGGGGGCTGGATCTCCCCCAGGACCAAAACCGGGAACTGGTCAGGGGGACTGGTCAGGTCTCGGGGACTGGGGGCCGGGACAGGGGGAATCTCACTGATCTGAGCGGTAACCGATCTGGGGTGGTGACGAAGTCCTCGCTGGTCAGTTCCACGGAGCTGTCGTCCGCCCGCATATTTTTTGATATGGCTACAAGATGGCTGGCGGTCTTGTTGTTGGCGGTGGCAGGGGCGGCGTTGGATGACGTCTTGTTGATGGACGACGCAAACTTAGACGCTGCACACCAGGGTGCAGCGAACCTTATGAATTTGCCGGTGGTTCCCAAGGCGCTTGTTACGCCCTTCACCACCTCCTTCATCACCTCCTACCTGCTGATCATCGTCAGCGAGATTGGCGACAAGGTAACAGGCTGTGTCATCCCTACCCTTGTGGTTAACCCTACCCTTGCCTTCACTTTCGGGGGCTGAGACCATACCCCTCCTCGGTAGACCTTTTTCATTGCGGCGATTCTGTCTATGAAGCGTGGCGGCCGTGTGACGTTTGCAGGCGCGGCGTCGGCCTTGGCGTTGATGACAGTGTTGTCTGCATCGGCAGGTCGTGTGCTACCAGCGTTGGTGGACCCTCGTTTTACGCACTACGCTAGTGTGGCTCTGTTTGCGTGTTTCGCTGTCAAGTTGTTATGGGAGGGTTACAACATGGTTTCGGGTGAGGTGAGTGGAGAGTTAAAAGAAGTGGAGTTGGCGTTGGCTGACCGTCAGGCGCTGGCTGACCGTCAGCCAGAGCAGGATGCTGATGAGTTGGCAGATTCTATGGAGAAGGGGCTGGCGGATGTTATGGATGAGACCCCTGGCCCTCTTGTTGCGTCCACGACCTTATTAGGGCCATCCGTAAATCACGATGGCGAGGACTTGGCTGGAAGTCGTCCCGGTAGTGCCCGCCCCGGCGTCATCGAAGCTGCAGCCTCGAAGCTCACTTCCGTTGCCAGCCCCACGGTACGAAAAAAGGCTCGTGAAGTGTTCCGCCATGCATTCTTCAGTGCTGCATTCACCGAAGCTTTCACCATGACCTTCGCAGCCGAGTGGGGTGACCGCTCACAGGTCGCAACACTCGCACTTGGCGCCACCAAAAACATCTGGGGCGTGAACCTAGGCGGGGTTTGTGGTCATCTCTCGTGCACAGGACTAGCCGTCCTTTCAGGTGCCATGATCGGAAAAAGACTTAGTGAAAAATCTATTACTATCACAGGCGGAATTACCTTCCTTGCCTTCGCAGTAGCAGGCCTCTTCCTCGAATTCTAATAGGTCCTCCAATACGTCCTCTAATGTGTCCTAGGACGACTGCTACTCTGTCTTGGAATTACTCATGTCCTGGAACCACGTTACGGAGATGGACCACGTTAAGCCGGAACTACAACTCCAGACCATCATGGATCCTACCTATCGGAATCTGCACGGATCCTACTCTGGCTAGTAATGAGTTGCTTCCAGCTCCTTTTAGCACTAGTACCGTTGCTCCTTGCACCTGAATTAATATTTTTACAAACACTGATGAGTAAAGACGAATTCGAAATAGGACGAGAGTGGAGAAAGACATACAAAGGGTTCTTGTATCAATTTCAAGGTAAGCCTGCCTTTACGTCTCGCTAGTATCGGTGTCAGAGTATCGCTAGTATCGGTGTTTGGTTGCATACAAGGGTTGCATATAAGGGTTGCTCATCAGGTGATTTTTGGCGTGCATACTATCAGCGCATACTGTTTGCGGCTGCCTACTTCGCGTTGGGTTATCTTATTGTATGGTTTTTTGCCGACCCGGGGGCGAGCAAACGACGGTCATGGATTTTGTCTCTGCTCGATTCTTCCGTATTGGCGATGGGTTCGATTCCCTGCGTTGTCGATTGGATATCTTCCCTCATCTCAGCCGCGCGCGGGAAGATAGCGATGCCTGGGGAGTCCTGGTCAGAGAAGCTCTTGAGTGGTGTACCGTACACTGACACTTTGTGTCTCGTGTTCTACACTCACCTCTGGCTAGATCTTATCGCCAGTTTCCTTTTCTTCCGGGAACACATGGACCTTCTTGCCGGATGGATCCATCACATCTGCTACATTTTGATCGTCTCTCACTCACTCTACCACCACTGGACATGTAAGTCGCCAACATATATAAGCCGGTCCCCGATTATCCTCCTACCCATTTCCCAGCGCGTGTGTGTGCTACCCCAGCGCGTACGTCTTTGTTCAGATGGATTGGCACTTGTTTTTATCGAGGAGATTCCGACGTTTGTGTTGGCTCTAGGTTCAGTGAGTCCTAGACGTTTCCGTTCAGAAAGTGTTTTCGGTTATACCTTCTTGGTGTTTCGAGTCGTTTGTCACGCAGTGCTTACAGTGTTACTTTGTGTGAAAATAAAGGATCATTATTTCATCAAAAGCATCACCCTTCTGGCTATGGGCTTACATGCTCACTGGTTCATGGGTTGGGTTAACAGACAGAAGCGACTGCAACGGTTCAAGAGGTATGCATCCTCTCGTATCGCGTCAGGTCTATTGCTGCCTCCGTCCAGTAGTCTGGAAGCTATGGGTCAGACAAAAGGTCATGCGCACCCGTCACCGGATCGACTGGAGATGGTGGGCTCACAACTCCCTTCTCCCGGCGACGAGGAGACTGCTCCTCTCTCACCTCATAGACAAAGTTCCCTCACTCGTGAGACAGCAGGTGGTATTAATGCTGGTGAAGATAATCTCCGAGGCATTGTTCGCCAGTTCACCTTGACCGAAGGAATCACTAACCATGAACTCTTCTCGGCACACTCACTCAACGGACATATCGACGCTGGCGACGAAGGGCCCGAAGAAGTTTTACAGGAATTGGGCAGCACCGAAAAGCTAGAGGGCACTGCCAAATTTGCAGAATAAATGATCGTCTTTCTGGAGTCAGAGGCTAACACACGCCACGGGCAGCCTGGGACCGTAGCTCTTGCCCAACAAACCGAAACCCCTGCTAGTACCGAAACGCCTGCTAAAGAGGTGGCTGTCGGGGACGCCAAGGGAACTGTCGGGGAGGCGGCTGTGGAGGACACTAAGGAAGCGATCGAGAACGCTAATGCTCAGGACAATGGTCGGCTTATACTGCTTTGGACTCCACGGATAACAGAATCACTAGTAAGGCATGTTGATCCGAGGGGCCGGGTTCCGAGGGGGGGCCGGGTTCCGAGGGGGGGCCGGGTTCCGAAGGGGGGGTTGTGTTCAGAGATGTAATGTCTTCTTAGGGGAGCCAACACTTCGCGTTGGAAGATGACGTTAAGCTCCGGGGAGAGATGGAAACGGAAGGTGCGGAAGCGACTGGTGCGGAAGCGGTCCGACGATATTGGCTTAAAGTTGAACGTTCCGGGGTGACGGTTTTCGAGTGCAGTTTTTCTAATGCAGAAGACGGAGAAATATGGGTGTCGACACTGCTCCAGATGATTGATGAACTGAAAGGGGATGAAGATGCTGTGATGTTGACTACTGACCCGGGACCGTTAAGGACAATTGAAATACCACATCGACCCATGGCTATTACGTCGCTTACAACTCAGGAGAATTTATTGAGTTTGCTTTCTGATGAGGAGGCTGTCCAAGAACTCTTTTCGCTGTTACCGGAATCCTTAAGGAATTTGGATTCCCTTCGAAGAATATTCAAATGCTCTGCTTTCAATAACGCAGGTCTGGAGCTTACGCAGGCGATGTACGGTGGAGATGCTCCGGCTCTCTTTCTTTCTCTTGGTTTGACTTTTAATCCCCTAATGGATCGTAATTTCGCACCCACTTTCGCCCCTATACTGAGCACAAGACGCGCGCGTCTTCACGCACGGGTGTGCGACTTTCATGCACGGGTGTGCGACCTTCACACACGGGTGTTACATTCGGGTTACAACCATCGTTTTTTCCGTAGCTGTTGAGGGTTTAGTTGATGGTTTATCTGTGCAGAATCATTCGTCGGTTTGATGACGACCTTTGCTGCAGGCTGCTGGGGCTAATAGTGAGAGCACGAGGGAGAACATGGAGGCGTCTACAATAGTGTTTGTCGCCTTTATGTCGTGGGTAGAAGCCCGGCTGGTAGAACTCTTCACTCGGAGCTCCCCGGGCAGCATTTCTACCGGAACGATCTCGCTTTCGGATGTGAATAATTGCTCCATCCGATCAGGCTCGATGACTATGGAACTCTCAAGGTCCGAATTCGGCACTACCCGGCTCGCTACCGGACGTGTGGAACTAAACAGTTTTTGAACCACCGTGGACCGCAACGCCACTGGCTCCTGCGGTAACGGGGCGGGGGGACTCGCCAACGCGCCATCGGCCGGCCCATCCACAGTGGCTCCGTCCTCTGCAGGTCCTTCAGCGGTAGGTCTCTCCACGGTAGGCCGTTCCGCGGACGCGTTCTCCGGCACCAACGGTGCCGACGGCTCACCCCAGGGCGGGGAGGGCTTTCCAGAAGGCGGGCTTCCTAAGGGCGAGGACGCTATTTCGGCCAATGGAAGTCGTATCTCGTGGGCCGTAACGTTCCCGATGCCAGACGCGACTGTGCCGTCCATCAGTCGATCTACCATTGAGTTCGGAAGCAACCAGTTCGGGGATGCCAGTGGGTCGAGCAGTGACTGATTACCAACAGCCGATTGTGCTGCCACGTTCCCGATTGGCTGTTCATTCTCGGAGTCGGGTCCCTGGTTAAAGAAGTTCGTTTTCGCAGCGCCGACAGAGGAGATCTGAGGAATGAACACGATGTCGTCGTCTGACTGAAAGTCGGGTTGGCCGTCGAGCGGCTGACGCAGACCGTCAATTCGCGTGAGGGTGTCCATCTGCGCAAGAGGGTCCATTTGCGCGAGAGGGTCCATTTGCGCGAGAGGGTCCATCTGCGCAAGAGGGTCCATTTGCCCGAGAGCGTCCAGCTGAGGGAAACATGATGGGGGAAAGACACCTTGGGGGAAGCCAGTTTGGGGGAAGCCAGTTTGGGGGAAGCATGGCTGCTCGTCCGACGGAAGGTCCTGCACGAAGGAGGCGATCCGATCCTCAAAGGAAAGAGAAGGCTGCGAGACCTCGCAGCATTGTTCCGTCGTTTTCTTCCGGCGCAAAGGCTCTTTGGAAGCATGAGGTGGCAGGCTGGAGACCTGCGGCAAAAGGCTGGAGACTTGCGGCAACAGGTCCCTTCCTGTCTCCTTCAGCTCCCTTTGGTCCTTCCCTACTCCTGTCTCTTTCGCCTCCCTTCCTCTTTCCTTCGTATGCTCCGTCTGCAGGTTCCCACATACCTCACTCGACAAAACCTTCTCAAGGCCCCTCGGCGGACGCCGGGCTTCCTCACCCTCAGTCTTAGTCGCAGTCATCGTTGTAACGAAGTGTGTCTCGGATGGGGTCCCAGAAGGGTTTTTGACGACACGGCCTGCAGCCGCGGTGGGCGATTTGGAAGGAGAGGGAGACTTGGACGAACGACGCAGGAACCGTGCGGGACGGGTAGGCCAAGGTTCATCATCTTCCAGGAACACCGGTTCCAAGTCGGTTCGCCGGCTTTTGCCAGGCGGCGTCCTAGGCTCCGCCGGCGACCGGCTGTGGGTCAGCATCTCCAACTGCGAAATGGCCGACTTCACTCGAGACCTGGGTCGCGTCGTCTCGCCCTCGGCCGATGGCACGTTGTCCGTGACCAATCGACTTAGGCCACCAACCACCGGCTGCTCATCTAGCTCCGGTGCCGGTACGCAAACACCCGGTGCCGTCAGGTTCGCCCCCTCCTCTCGCTCTTCACTCACCTCTTCGCTCACTCGCACCACTAGGACCTGCAACGGGATCTCCGGGGCCCCCGTCCGGTCCAAAGGCTCTGATCCGTGCAGAAGCTCCGATCCGTCCAAAACTACCGCTCGGTCCCGAGATGCCGATCCGCCCTCCTCAGTAGAGGCCTCTGCTCCGGGCCCTTCATGGCACCGCCAAGCAGGTCGCGCGTCAGCAGACTGCGCGTCAGCAGACCGCGCGTCAGCAGACTGCGCGTCAGCAGACCGCGCGTCAGCAGACCGCGCGTCAGCAGACTGCGCGTCAGCAGACTGCGCGTCAGCAGACAGCGCGTCATTCCCTCCTTCGACCAACGCTTCACCGCCCAACGCTTTATCACCCGGCACTCCACCACCATCAGGTCGTGGGTTCGACGCCGCATCGTCGACTGACATCTCCGGCGCCGCAGATGCCTCCTGCATAGGAATGTGTGCAGCGCCGTCGCAAACAGCAACAGCGTCCGCGCCGTCGCCGGGGATTATTACACCAAGTTGTTCGTAGGCCAGCTGTTCCGACATAGCGTGTCCCCATGCCGGCTCACTCGCTTCCGGATCTTTTGCTTCCAGGTCTTTCAATTCTGTCTTTCCCATCTCTTCCCGTTTCACCTCTTCCGATACCACATCCTTAGCGTCCGGCTCTTCCGAGACCACCTCTTTTGCTTCCGCCATTTTCCGTTCAGCCTCGTTGAAGGGCACTTGGGTATCATCACGACCAAACTCTTGCCCCCAATTATTACGTTCTAACAGACGTGATTCTGAGTGATGATCAGACTGGCAATCCGACTGGTCTGATTCGGTGGGCCGGTGCAGAGAGTCGGGAATTGACGTGGGCCCGGGACCGAATAGGGAAAGCGCAAGCAAGGGCGGCGCAGACGAGGAGCAGCGCGACACCATTTCAGCCCGCACTCGAGGCAACTCGCCAGATCCAGAGCCGGTCTCTGGAGAACCGATGTCTGGGCGGGACCCTTCTGGTTCGAACCCTTCTGGTTCGAACCCTTCTGGTTTGGACCCTTCTGGTTCGAACCCTTCTGGTCTGGGCCCTTCTGGCTTGGGCCCTTCTGGAGACGACGTTTCTAGGCCTATCGAACCAAGACCTTCCGCGGAAGCCGCTACTGGAGTCTCGGGTCGGCCGCTTTGGGCGACCGGGTCAGCCATGTGCGAATCCGGGTTCGCTGCAGCCTGGGACGAGCGGGGAGTAATGGGTGAGAGAGTCTGATTGCTTGAAGATGCCGAGGGCGATATGACCAACGACGAGCCGTCCTTCTCTTGGGCCGACGAGTCCATAGAGGGAAACGGACACAGAGGATGAACCTCGTCCTCCGACGCCGCCTCCACTCGGATCGCCTGGGTGACCGGGACGGTCTCGTTCACCCGGTCTACGTCCGGACTCAGACGCAAGTCGCTTCCCCCGTCCTCCGCGGTTCCTGCCGCCCCTTCTTCCGCGCCAGCCCCCCGGTCCTCCGAATCCGTCGGCGTAGGCTCAGGAGCTAAGGTGCCGTGCCTTAAACACTCAACAAAAGGGGTCTCCGCGGACGTTGGCTCTGGCTCCTCAGAGGACGGCTCCTCAGAGGGTGGCTCGTGGAGGGGACCTTCGTTCGCAGGTGGAATTCTATCGCTTGTAACCCCATCCGTGACGCTTGGTCTGAGGTCTTCCGGCCCCAGGTCCTCCGGCCCTGGGTCCTCTCGTGGCAGGTCATTTGGTCCCCGGTCTTGTAGTCCCAAGCCCTCGGGTATTATCTCTGGCCCTAGGTCTTGTGGGCGTGAGCCCTCCGGCACCAAGACCTCGGGCACTTGGACCTGGAGTGCCAGGTGCTCAGTCACCAGGACTTGGGGTGCCAGGCCCTGGGGTACCAAGTCCTCGGGTACTGGGACCTCAGGCGCTGGATCCTCGAGTGCTGCGTCCTCAAGTACTGGGTTCTCGGGCCCCAGGTCCTCGGGATCTGGGTGCTCGGATCCAAGAAAAACCGGTCCAAGGTCCTGTGTTCCTAGGTCCTCTGGTGGCAGGTCATTTGATCCCACGTCTTGTGGTCCAAGGTCCTGTGTTCCTAGGTCCTCTGGTGGCAGGTCATTTGGTCCCAGGTCTTGCGGTCCAAGGTCCTGTGTTCCTAGGTGCTCTGGCGGCAGGTCATTTAGTCCCAGGTCCTGTGGTCCAAGGTCCTGTGTTCCTAGGTGCTCTGGCGGCAGGTCATTTGGTCCCAGGTCTTGCGGTCCAAGGTCCTGTGTTCCTAGGTGTTCTGGCGGCAGGTCATTTGGTCCCAGGTCCTGTGGTCCAAGGTCCTGTGTTCCTAGGTCCTCTGACGGCAGGTCGTCTGGTTGCAGGGGATACTCAGGGACCAAATCCTCGTCCAGTTCGACCGTGCCAAAAGTAGGCGGTGTGTCTCGAAAGACCAGCGCCGAGGACGTGACGGCCTCGGCAGACGGGACACCTTCCAAACAAAACCGCCCTTCACTCGTTGAGGAGGAGACTCTGAGTCCATGGCGGCTGTCCTGACTTGAGCGCTGCCGGTCTCCACGACGGTCTTGGCCAAGGTCGAAGCCAGAAGTATTGAAGCCCGGAGCCGGTCGGCCGTGAGAGCTGGGGTCTGAAGAGAGCGCGGAAGATGACGAAGAGGTCTTGGAGTCCCTGCGTAGTTGGCCTGGAATTTGTGATCTGGTCAGCGGTCGCCGATGTTCCAGAAACGGAGAAGGGGGGTAGAGAGGTGGTGGGAAACTAATGGGTGAGAACTGGAGCTGAGATGCGTGCTCGTCGGCTGACGAGGACGAGGAGGACGGTTCAGGGGAGGAGGAGGAGGAGAGGTCCACTGCCCCCGAGTGACCAGCTCCAGTCGCGGGCGCATTGTGAGTAACGAGCCCTTCTGACTTGGTTGGCTCCGGCGGGAGGGCCCACCCGCCGGGCAGTTCGTCTGCAAACGACATCGGCCGAATTCGGGGTTCATCGAACGAAGCAAACGGCGAGTCCACCACGTTCGGCTGGGAGGCACCCGACTGGACCTGAGCCAATTCGCCTTCCGCCTGCACCGCCGGGAACTCAGGCGTATTCGGCACCAACGATGCCGAACCGGCACCTAATGACTCTTCCTCCAGCACCGATAGAAACACCCCTGCCGACGCTGCCTCAACGGCCGTGAGTACCACATCAGCCTCCTTCGGCCCAACCGCCTTCGGCGCAACCTCCGTCGGCCCAACCGCCTTCGGCGCAACCTCCGTCGGCCCAACCGCCTTCGGCGCAACCTCCGTCGGCCCAACCTCCGTCAGCCCAACCTCCGTCGGCCCAACCTCCGTCGGCATGCGTCCATTGAAATCGCCTGTTCCGGAAACTGCTTGGTGCAAAAGATCTGCTTGGAACGTCGTGGCTCTTTCCCGACCTGGAACCGCACGAAACTCCGCTCCGTCGTCCACGGGCCTGCCTTCTACGGGCCTACCTGCAACGGGGCTGGGTTCCGGAGACCTGACGTCCAAAGGATTTTTATCTCCAGAGTTCTCCTGGTCGTCGAGGAAGCCGTCGTTGTTGCTGGCCAGTCGGTCGGTTTCCGTCGCTGGGTAGAACATGTCGCTGCTGGGGAATGCAGCGGCGTCCTCTTCCATGGCCCGTCCCCAGTCCCAGTCCTCCCAGTCTGTTTGTTTCCGGTTAAGCATCCAGGGGGAAGACCCGTACCGGCTCCCAATACTGCCGCCAGACGACGAGACGCGCCGGCCCACCTGCGTGTCGTCCGCTGAACGTCTGCGCTGGGACCCGGTATCCGGTTCAGTACGGCCACTATTGGCAGGTTCTTCCCCGCGCTCAGGAGGGCCAGGACCCTCTAGTAGGGCGACTTTGGAATCCCGATTCGGACTCGTTCGGGGCTTGGCTGCATCAGCTTTGCCCCCCGACCCTCGTCCCGGAACTGCGCTGTCACGTACGGTGTCCAACGGGCCCGGCTCCAAAGGACCTGGTCCCAAAGGACCTGGTTCCAAAGGACCCGGCTCCAAAGGACCCGGTTCCAAACGGCTTGGCTCCGAAGGGCCCGGTTCCAACAGCTCCGGTTCCGGTTCCGAAGGCGCGGGTTCCGAAGGCGCGGGTTCCGAAGGCCCCGGTTCCCTTGACGAGGATGACGAGGATAGCTGTCGTGCGATTTCCTCCCTGACTTTTGAGAGTGCAACTTCCGCAGCCATGGCCGCCATTTTGATCTTCTGTGTCGCGTCCAAGGTTGTGCTGCCCGCGAGACTGCCCGACTTGGTGGGAACAGTCGACGCGACGAAGCCTGGGCCACGAAGGCCTGATGAGTTGGCCGGAATCTGAGAGCGGGCCGGCGCCGGGACCGGAGGGGTGGGCGCTTGGCCAGAGGGGAAGCTGAGGCTTGCGGTGGATCGTCTGACGGAGTTGATCTGATGTCTCGGTTCTGGTGTGGGGGTTTTAGGTTCCAGGTATTGATATTTGTGTTCCGTAGTCTCGAACCCGAAGTTGGAAGACTTGGTGTTGGATGGGGTTTTGATCGGTGTAAGGTGATTGCTTGGTGTCGTAGGGCGATTGCTTGGCGCCGTGTGGATGTTCCCCGACTTGGGTTGGATTGTCGCACTCGGTTTCAAAAGACGAGCCGGAGGTGTGTTGGTCGCCGAAAGTGGTGCTGTCGTCGAGGCTCTGATTTTCTCCGGTGCTGACGAGGTAAGAGGTAACGCGGACGGCTCGGCCGAGGCTGTCTGCTCAAAGCGCGATATAAACTCGGCCACCTTCCCTCGTGGAGGGGCCATGCTTGGGACATGCCGAAAAATCAGTCAAGACCAACCCAAACTGGGACCTTAAACTGGGAACTGTAACCAGCTCAAGGTCGATGGCCCAAGGTCGCTGGTTCGAAATCCCTCGGCGGACGCAGCCCAGGGGCTGAGCGGAAACAAAGCAGGCTGACTTATACTCAACCCCCAAACAACAAGTTCTGTAATTTAGAACATCAACGCGATTCAACACAGACACTGGAACGCCCGGCCGATAGTTACCACGTATATTCAAGCGACAAGAAAGGTGAAAAAGATTTTGCGTTTTAATAGAAACGGAAAAATAAAACTTGATCTTGATCACAGTTTGCCGTGATACCTTGACGTTATACCTTGCCGTAATACCTTGATTGAGCCTGGCCCAGCCTCCCCTCGCCTCAAACCAGGGTTTGGTGTCGCGTTCTGTTCTACTCTATTTGGAGAACACACGCACTTGTCCGTCCCGGGCACGCACTTGTCCGTCCCGGGCACGTCCCTTTTGTATCAGGTCGATTTTAGAAGGTTTCCCCCCGCCTGACCCCGATGGTTTCTCCTCCTTGTCCTGATCTACGACATAGTCTTCCTCCTTAGTATCCGCTCCGAATTCTTCCTCCTTCACACCTAAGTCGAACTCTTTCTCATTGACGAATTCCTTATCATCGATGAACTCCCCGACTTCAAATTCCTTTTCTGAGAGGTCAGCGTCGAACTCTTGTTCTGGGAGAGTAGCCTCGAATTCTTGCTCTGGGACGTCCATGTCGAATTCTTGCTCCGGCACCATCATGTCCATCTCCTCAAGTGGATCCAGATCTTCACTCAAAGTCTGTAAATCGTCATAGTCAGCGTCTCTAATGGGGTCGACTGGCTGGTCGACTGGTTGGTCGACTGGTTGGTCATCGAAAGCATCTACTGTAAACTCCCCGTCCAACAAGGTCGGAGCCGTTACATCGTCTGCCAGGGCGACACGAATACTGTCTGGTATATGGTCGAAATGCACAACAAGGTTGTTATCAACTTCTGCTGAGACCGGATCGGGGCAGTGGCCACTGTGACAGTCTAGATCAACCATCTTGATAATCGTGTGCAATCCTTGTAGTATCGTTTCCATCAAATTGTTGGCATCGTCATCTAATTCAAATACATAGCCACCTAGCTCCAGACTTAACTGCATGTATGCCGGCAAGATGTTCTTTTTGGTAATGAATACTGGCATAATATCTTTGTCCTGCAACAATGTCTTGACGCTTGCGACAGCGGGATAATCCATCACCTTGGTTTCCTTTCGTTCGTCATCACCCTGTTCTTGATCGTTACGGTATTTTTCGCCTGCTGGATAGTCTCCGGCTTCGTGGTAGGGACTGTCTGTGGTCAAGATGACAAACTTGAGGATTTGTTCGCCGGTCTGATACTGTGTACCATTTGTCCACCGAGTCCTTGACTGAGTCGCTTCCGCCATTGCGATGAGTTGACAGTCTTCAAAGTCGCCACCATCACGAGTGATGATGCGCCCCAATGCGTCTTCCACGTGCGCAACGTCGGACGTTAGTGGGTAGCGTAATCGGTAACAGTAGTCGACAGCGCTCCCGAACGGAGCTTCCGGTCGGTCGACGAAGGAAGCCAAACCCACGCGGGTATATCTGTACTCATTTTGTAAAGCCCGAAGAGCATCCGGAACCTGGCGCTTAATCTCCACCAGATCGGAAGCAAACGAGCCACTCACATCCTGGACGTACAATATCTCTAGACTATATTTCTTTGCAGCCGCCAAAGCGCAGGCTGTAATTAACAGTGATAAAGATCTCATCCCCAAAATTTCAATTGTATTTTCGTGCGTCAGTCCAACCTCCTCCCTTGGTCTGTCTGCCCGGACCTCCGTCTGTCTGTCTCCCCAGGTTGTCAGCCGCCACAAATAGGTGACCTGTCTGTGGATCTTGAGTGCATTGTGATGTCGGAATAAGTTGCGTTGGGGAGGTTTTTTGTAATGAACTTATGTGGGAGAACGGTGTATCCTGACGAAGCCAGTTACTTCTGGAGTGCTAAAGTGCTACTATGTCGTGGTAGAGAGGTAGATTTGGAAACATACGGACTGGTGGTGGAGAGTGTGGCGGAGGCATGTCGACGGTTGGGACAGCTGAAGGCGGAGCCGGAGTTGGCGGCATGCGTTCCGGACCCGCGCATCTCCGCGTTATTCCATAATGTGCCGCAGTTGACGTCGTCGGTTGCCTCTACGTACTGGATCGGTGTCTTGGTGGTCTTGGAGCCGCCGGCGGAGCACAAGTTGGCTCCCAAGACCGGCCCGGAGACGTTCTCGCAATTTCAAATTGACTGTTATCAGCGCGGGATCGAAAAGTGCGCAGTAATCATCCTCACTGCGGCAGAAAAGCCGAGCGCCGAGGAGCAGCGACTGCTGCACGAGGCGACGCAGACAGGGCTGCAGGCCCACCTCGTACCCAAGGCGTTTTGCGCGACCACTTCTGGCGCCGTCGGACGCGCTAGCACACGCGTGTCCGGCCTCAGTCGCGAAACCAGCACACGTCCCCAGCCTCCCGTCGGCACTGCGCTGCAGCCAATTGAACTCACGCCTTCCGCTGCCGCGGGCCTCGAGGCCCTCAGCCCCGCAACCGCTCGCAGCGGCGACGAAAATTGCTCTCCCGGGTCCGCCGCCGTCGCCGGTTCACCGCTGAGTCCCGAGGGCAGCGACAGCGGCCGAGATACCAGCGGTCGAGACCCGAACACCAGCTGCCGTGATACTGATAACACAAACGCCACCGGCAATAACGGCAGCGGCAGAGACGGGGGCAGTGGCAGAGACGGAATAGGGAGTAGTGGCGGAGACGGTGGTAGTGGCAGAGACGGTGCTGGGGCGAGTGCGTGGCTGGCTGTAGCACAGGAGTTGCGTGTGGCGGTGAACAAATTGTTGCTGGCACGATTGGATTGCGACGCGGTGGAGTTGTCTACGGCTGAGTCCTTGCGAGGGGAGGCGAAGAAGAAGACCGAAGCGCGTTTGAAGAAGCAGCGCGCGGAGTGTTGTCTCTTGTTGAAAGACGCGGGCGCGGCGCTCACATATGCGGCCTCAGCGTTGGAAGTCCAAAAGACCGCCGCTGCGGCCGCAGAACCCGTGGTCATCGCCCAGTGCCACGAGGTCATTGGCCTCGCCCTTGCGCTCTGGCGGCGTTCTGCCGCCGCGCGCGGAGCCGAAGGCACTGCACTGGTCGAAAGCTACGTGCGCGAAACGCTAAGTTTGCGCAAGGCCGCGGGCGCTGGCTTGCTCCAAATGCTAGGTCCGCAGCAGCCGAGCGAACTGGACGACCGTGCACGCACCAGCGCCG